CCCCCCCAGACCCGAAATCGGGGTCAGATTCGGGTCTTCGGGTTGGGTTGGGGTGGTCTGGTAGGTAGTCAGGCAGAGACCGCGGGCCTGTCCACTTCCGCGTGCCCCTCGCCCCACAGATAGGCACCCTGGTGGCCTTTCTGTGGGCGCCAGCAGCCGCGACGTGACAGGAGGTGTGCGCGGATCTGGCGGCAGTGGCCCCAGCAGCTCTGGCGCTGGCAGCTCTTCGGATCCACCGCGTGCCGCTGGGGGGCGCGGGCGTGAAGGGGGCGGTGCGGAACCGCCTCCTCCCCCGCCTCCAGCAGATGCGCGGCCGCGTGCGAGACTGCCTGATTGGTCGAGGGTCGACATCCAGATGAGTCTCCAGAATCTACGTGGCTTCAGCCCAACCATCGCAGTGAAGGAGTTGGCGAGCTCCACCTGTCGAGCGTAGGATGAGATGTTGTTCGACTGAATACGATGAGAGGCGTAGTCGACTCATGCCGTGAGTGCAGAGTTTGGCGAGACACCAGGCAACACAATTATGCTATCAATCAGCCTCCCTGGCAAATTCAACGAAGAAGTCGAATGCAAGTTGATGTTCTATGAGCAGCACGTAGTATTCCACTTCATCGACCGATGCAGTCGCTGGGCTGCTGGCCAACGATGCATGCTGTATTGGACGCCCATCGCCAATGCCGGATGCAAAATGGCCCAGCTACGGTGATGTATTCCGACGGGGAAGCCGACCTGAATAATGACATCGCCAAGGCTATCGTAAATACCAACGGCACGGGGCTTCGCATCTGTGCCCGAGGCCAGCGCGCCACCGCAATCGAGGTGCGCGACGGCATCTTCAGACACGCTCTATATGTCATGGAAGACATGCTCAAACGTCACAACACCCAATTTGTTTTCACACGTCTACTGTACGAAGGCCTATTTGTCTGTAGTTGTTTTTAAGTCCTACAACGGAGTGTCGCCATATCAGGCGTGATATGGCCGACAATTGGCATGCTTCCCAGACCTCCCGGTAATGGACTATCAGCGGGGGACGGAACCTTCCGATCACAATCGGGAGCGCAGAATCAGGGAAATTGTGTTGAAGTTATTACCCAGGCCACAGCAGTAGTCAAAGCTAGCAGAGCCCTACGCACAGAAACAACAGCTGCAGGGCATTGCATGTATCAGCCAGGCGATCTCGTGGACTACCACCGCCCGACCACCGGAATTCACGATTGGGGTGGATGGAGCGGCCCAAGCCCCACCGCCCGTAATTTCCCTGACCGATGTCAGGCAGTGGTCCAAATCGGCGGTCGAGAAGTCCTCGTACAGTGTCCAGACTTACGTCGCACGCTGTACATAGTTAATGATGATCCTCGCGATTGGCCCCGATACAACGGCAACGCGTGCGGCGCTGGCCTGCGTCGCGAGCCTGCCCGCGGGGGAACTTTTGATGGTCTTCGGCTACTTGCCGAGCAAGCGAGGAATCTTGTGGATGACCACGGCGAGCAGTCTCTTGCTTAGGTGCACTTAGCCCTGCAGTTCTTTATCAGCAACTACTTCCGAACAGAGAACGTAGTAATTTCACGTTTGGCTAAGAGCATCCACGGGTTACCTGCATCGCCATGCTCTGATAGTTGCACCCTGGTATACTATGACAGCGACGTTACACCGGGATTCCACTACAACGAATCCGCAGGCGCACTCCTCCATATCCACGACATCGTTGGGTCTACACATGCGCGAATCATCTACGCCCTTCGCAGGCTTCGACGAAGACCTATCTAAGCTTGAGGAACTGGCGGGCGCGCCAGCCTCGGGTGGCAGCGCTCGAGGAAGAACGACCTCTATCTCCATTCGCTCTCCATGGCAGACTTCCGTTTCTCATCGAGGAGTTGGAAATGGATTTTGAAACGCATATCATGGACGCGTGGTACATGGAATTCCAAGAGGAACGGGAGCTACTCGAGACCCCCCCCCATATGCTGAGTACCTCTGACGGGATTGCGGAACATCAGGTGCTCCTGACTGGCCTGCGAGGAGCAATGACACTTGCAGGACATAGGCTGTGCTCGTCACGATGATGCTGACGAAACTTTCCTGGTGCCTGGTGCCGCGGAATGCGATGGGACCTATGACTTCGATTCGGACGAATATGGTCAGTGCGTTGAGTTTTGCTTCGCTTTTGACGTGGCCAAAGATGTTCTGACAGGACAACAGCGCGAATCACTATGCGGCGGCCAGGTGGCCGCTATGCGGGTATATGTCGCAGCCGCAGGCGAAAGAGCCGCGGTCGCCAAGGAAGTCGACTTCGTGGCGAAGGCTGAAATGCAGGCGAACCTGGCCAATATTTAATGTTCTGTGCAAAGGCTTCAAAATGTGGCGCGACGGTGGGTGCCTGGAGATCTTGGATGTTTGACATGTTACAAACATCATGACATCTAGGTGCGCGTACGTGGAGGTTCGCGAAGAACGGAAATGCGACACGAAAAGGCGACGTGGAACGAACCATCCGATTTCGTTTGGTCCTTCACGGTTTCGCGGATGTCGAAGCTCTCGACGTGGAAACCTTTTCAGGCGCAGCTCGTCGAGCGCGCCGAAGACGGCTCGCACGCGCGGCCGCGTGCGAGACATCGTGGATCAGAGCATCCATGAATATTGAAAAGGCTTTCTTGGGCGGCCTGACTGATCGTGGGCCGGTGGAAGCCGATGGAGAGAAATATCGCATGGTCTGCTGTGCTCTTCCCTGGCTCAGCCTCGGCGCTGCTCGCGTCGCCAGGCCTTGCGGCTCCTGGCGAATCGACGCGCTGCTTGCAGTTCATGAAGCCAGGCGCCAGTAACAGGGGTGCCCCTATGGCATTCTCATGTAAGCTCAGGGCTATCGCAAGAGGTTCTGGGCTGAAGCGCACGTCGTCCGACGAATTTGAGGCGATCCCGAATCATCTGACAGCCGAGCGCGATGACGGCGTGCGCGTGGCAGGAATTGATGATGCGATTGATAAGCGTGTCAAATGTGTAGAGAGTACGTTCGGCGCGTGCAAACTTAACAAGCGCAGTTGTGCAAACTGCGCCGCGCTCTGCGCCGAGGTCGAGGGCGGTCGCGCCACAACTGGATCAGGATGAATTTCTCGATCAAGTTTGCCCCGTGCATCGCTCGTAACTCACGGGCGCTGTCGCGGGAGAAATGGCGGCGAACGCAGTGTCCGATGTGTTCATCAGTTTGCGTAGTGCGTTAGCACATGCCCAAATCACACAGGTGTTGTTGGTGTATGCGTACTTTCCTTGCAACGTGTCAGGGGCCCGCTGGCCTACGAATGCGAAGGCGCAAGGCCGCAGCTCGCAAACTCCAACGAGGTCAACAGAGTATATCAACTTATGATTCCGACAGGGGAAGTGTCCCTTCGCAGTGACTCTGGCCACCGTCGCTTTCATGGCGACGCTGGCGGCGAAGTCGGGGGGCGCGGCGTCCGCGGGGCCAACCTGCTACCGCGCGGGCGCGCGCCTAACGGCGAGGCAGGAGTGCATTTGATCGACGCGCGCTACACTTCGCATCGCTTGCAGGTGCGCTCCGGCATTCAGCTGCATCACTAGCTGCGGCCGATGAACCTGGAAGACTGCTACCCTGCCATTGGCAATGAACGAACTCATGTCTGGACCGCGAACGCAATCGCAGCGGATAAGCAATTTCGTGTTAGGTGATCTCAGCATCGTGGCCATCCCCGCCATAGAAGCAGAGTCGGTGCTCAAATCCCCATCGGGTAAGGACTTGAAGAAGCTCGCTGAATGAATCCTGCTTGGACACATCAGCTGGATGAGGCGGATGGTGGGCCCGGGCGTCGTTCGCAGCGTACAATGGTGCGACGCGGGGCGTGGCGGCCGACGGTCATGCCAGAGGCTGTATTGATCGTGATTTACTTCTGCAGGTAGTGAACTGTAAACATCCCTTCAAATATGAGGTGAAATAATCATATGCTTTATCGAGACAACAGAGCAGCAACATCAACGTAGGGATGTCCTATTCAGGGCTAGCTTTTACGGATTGCGATTGGCCAACTTACAGCCGGCGCACCTTCGGACACGAGCCGCGTATGCGTATCAGCCCGGGTACGGGCCACGCGCGCGTGTTGATGCCTGACGGCTTGGCCAGGCATTCTTTTTCTGTAGGCTTGACGTCTGACTGTTGGGTGAGACGTCCTCGCGCTAATTACCGGCGGGTAATCGCGTGGTCTTGCCCGTGATTGCCCAGGATTATCTGTTGTCTGTCACGTGGTCTTGCCAGTGACAGACCCTGATGCCCTGCGCTGCCACATGCTCGCCTGGAGTTCTTGCGCTGCGAGGAAAGCAAACAATTGTGCATTCCTTCCTTGCCAGTGTAACTGTTTTGGGGCAGGATCGAGCGTTCGACCCCCCCCCTCCCGACTTTGAACGGAGCTGAAGGGGGATTGTATAGCGCGCGCTCTAACCTATTGGCGCTGCTTTGGCTCGAGGCAGCGCTGTCTTATTTGCTTATGTCGAGCCTTCGAGGTACACTCGAACCTGAGCGTAGGGCAAAGGCCACGTCCACCGATGGGTCACCTCTCCATCCCACGTTTCGTCTTTCATCTTTCATATTGCTTGCTAGCAGTGGAGAAGCTATGGGATACCTCGACGCGTCTCCGACGTTATCCTAAGAAGCAGGGCCTCAGCTTACTACTTCAATGAGCCCCTGGCCCTCGCTTTCCATTAAACCATGTCTGTTCCGAACCAGCCGTGGTGCTCTTCGTCCGGGGGGCCCCTGGGGCCGCCCCGCCCGCGAAATAGAACGATTGTAAAGAAGTTGCCAGAGATCTTAGCACGCTTCTGGCCCTTTGGGCTGGCGCAGTTTATACCGTTTTTCGCCCGCCAAAAAGTCATTATTGCTGAAAACCGGTCTTGATTGGTAGGTCGACCATGGCCCGTTCTTCTTCCCCATGACAATGCAGCCCTCGGAACGGTCTTGTGTCCTCCGGTTTTCCCTCTCCAGTCAACCTCGGCTGTAGGGCCACTTTTGCGTGCGGCCGATTCACGCCGAATGCGCGCGGCGACGACGGGCAGCCCGCGCGCGGCGGCTTCCCGCCAGGCGCGGGAGGCGGCTTGGCCGCGCCGCGGGCGGCCTCCAGCAGGGCGGTCCCCGCGCCGAGGGGCGGCCTTTCCGAGGCGCAGCAGCAGCTGTTCGAGGGTTTCTGATCGTTCTGGCGAAGGCTTCCCAAGGCGTTCCCCCCAGGCGCCAATGTTCCACCACCACTGCGCCGACATGGTTCGGACAGGGGACAAGAGAGGGTGGGTATATGATTTTCGTCCTCCTCCTCCTCTTCCTCCTCCTCCTCCTCCTCCTGCTCTTCCTCTTCCTCCTCCCTTTCCTACCTGTGGTAGGAGGAGGAGGAGGAGGAGGAGGAGGAGGAGGAGGAGGAGGAGGAGGAGGAGGAGGAAAAGGAAGAGGAGGAGGAGGAGGAGGAGGAGGAGGAGGAGGAGGGAGAGGAGGCGGAGGCGGAGGCGGAGGCGGAGGCGGAGGCGGAGGCGGAGGCGGAGGCGGAGGAGGAGGAGGAGGAGGAGGAGGAAGAGTCAGAGGAAAAAATAGAGGAAGAGGAAACATACTACTAATACGAATAATACGAATAACAGTAGTAATAATACGAATACGAATACGGATAACAATAAACATAATACGAAGCAGAAGAAACATACAAATTATGTCAACAAGGAGAGTACTAATAGTATTATTAATGATAAGAATAAGAAGATTAATACGACAAAAAAGAAGCATACTACTAACAATAATAATGCTACTACCCGTAATACTATGAATGATAATACTAATATTAGTACTATTACTGAAACTAATACTAATACGAGTACTAATACTAATACTCGTACTAGTACTAATACTAATCCTAATCGGAATACGAATCCTAATACTAATACTAACGATAATACTAATAATACGAATGCGAATACTATTATTTTTAAATAGTAAGACCATTATTACTATTAATAGTAATGGTAATGCGCATACGAATAATAATACCAACACTAATAATAGTACTACTACTAGTAATAATAACCATACTCATAATTTTAGTAATGCTAGCAATAATAATGATAATAATGCTAATTCTAATAATAATAATACTAGTAATAGTATGACCAATACCAATAATACAATAATAATCTTAATACTAATCTTAACAATAATAAGACTAATACCAATACCAATAACACTACCACTACCACTAACAATAACAATAATAATAATAATGATAATGATGATGATGATGATAATAATAATACTAATACTAATAATAATAATGCTGATGTTAATAGTAATGTTAATATTAACAAGAATAATAGTAATAATAATACTAATAATACTACCAATACTAATACTACTAACAATACTAATGATACTTACCCTGGCGACGTACCCAACCCCTGCGCAAACGCGGGGCGCAAATAGTTTAGGATACTTTATAAGGGGGCGATGACGGAGCGAGGGTTACATATGTCTGCAGCCGGAATTCGGGAGATTCGCAGGACACTGGCTACAGGAAAAGGGCTTGATAAAGCTGATGAGTTACAATTCTTGAGCACTCCTAGCCACTTCGAAGACGGGGATCACAGCATGCCTCGAAAGTGGCGACAGCTTCACAGATCGCAGCCCCGCAGGGATGGCGAGGTCTAGTTTGGGTCCGCGCGAGGCGTCACTGTGCTGGGCCCCCCCCAGCAGGCCTCGAAAGTGGCGACAGTTTCACAGATCGCAGCCTCCAGGGGATGGCGAGGTCTCATTTGAATCTGCCCGTGGCGTCGCTGCGCTGGGCCCCCCAGCAGGCCTCGAAAGTGGCGACAGTTTCACAGATCGCAGCCCCCAAGGGATGGCGAGGTCTCGTTTGAATCTGCCCGTGGCGTAACTGTGCAGGGCCCCCCAGCAGGCCTCGAAAGTGGCGACAGTTTCACAGATCGCAGCCCCCCCAGAGATGGCGAGGTCTCATTTGAATCCGCGCGTGGCCCTCACTGTGCTGGGCCCCCCAGCAGGCCTCGAAAATGGCGACAGTTTCACAGATCGCAGCCCCCCAGGGATGGCGAGGTCTAATTTGAATCTGCCCGTGGCGTCACTGTGCTGGGCCCCCCAGCAGGCTCGAAAATGGCGACAGTTTCACAGATCGCAGCCCCCCCAGGGATGGCGAGGTCTCATTTGAATCTGCCCGTGGCCCTCAGTGTGGTGGGCCCCCCAGCAGGCCTCGAAAATGGCGACATTTTCACATATCGCACCCCCCCAGGGATGGCGAGGTCTCATTTGAATCTGCGCGTCGCCCTCACTGTGCTGGGCCCCCCAACAGGCCTCGAAAATGGCGGCAGTTTCACAGATCGCAGCCCCCCAGGGATGGCGAGGTCTAATTTGAATCTGCGCGTCGTCCTCACTGTGCTGCGCCCCCCAGCAGGCCTCGAAAATGGCGACAGTCTCACATATCGCAGCCCCCCACGGATGGCGAGGTCTAATTTGAATTTGCGCGGGGCCCTCACTGTGCTGGGCCCCCCCAGCTGGCCTCGAAAGTGGCGGCGGTTTCACATCGCAGCCCCCCGCAGGGATGGCGAGGTCTCATTTGAATCTGCGCGTCGCCCTCACTGTGCTGAGCGCCCCAGCAGGCTTCGAAAATGGCGACAGTTTCACAGATCGCAGCCCCCCCAGGGATGGCGAGGTCTCATTTGAATCTGCCCGTGGCCCTCACTGTGCCGGGCCCCCCAGCAGGCCTCGAACATGGCGGCCGTTTCACAGATCGCAGCCCCCCCCAGGGATGGCGAGGTCTCATTTGAATTTGCGCGGGGCCCTCACTGTGCTGGGCCCCCCAGCAGGCTTCGAAAATGTCGACAGTTTCACTGATCGCAGCCCCCCGCAGGCAAGACAAGAAGAGGCAGGGAGGGAGGGAGGAGGGGGAAGGAAGGAGTGGAGACCACACAGCTCTATTCAAAACGAATACCCAACCAAGGAGGGTTGGGAAACATAATAATAGTAATAATGCTCACACAATTACTACTACTACTACTACTACTACTACTACTACTACTACTACTACTACTACTACTACTAGTATTATTATTATTCATATTATTAGTATTAATGCTAACAATAATAATGAATAACATCAATAATACTAATGTTAATATTAGTAGTCCTATTAACAATAATAATACAGATAATAATACTAATGGTACTGGTAAACGTAATAATAGTAATATTACTACTACTGTTAATAATAATAGTAATACTCGTAACAGTAATGATAATACTGATATCAGTAGTAATAGTACTATCAACATTAATAATGACCGTAATAATATTATAAATAATAATACTACCAATAATCATAATAATAATACTAATCAGAGTGATCATCATACTCATAATAACAATACTAATAATAATACGTATAATACCAATAATAATATCAATAATAATAATACTAGTAATTATAATATTAATAATATTAGTACTACTGATAATACTAACACTACTAATAATACTCGTATTATTAATAATAATCATACTAATGCTAATAATAATGATGATGATGATGATAATAACACTAATAATAACAATCCCAATAACAATATTAATATTAACAATACTAACAATAATAATACGAATACTAATAGTAATACTATTAATAATAGTAATACTAATAATATTAGCAACAATAATACTACTAATAATAATATTAATAATAACGATACTAATACTAATATTATTAATAATGTTAATAATACTAGTAATACTAATAATAATACTACTAATAATACTATTAATAATACTAATATTAATAATACTAATACTATTACTAATATAATAATAATAATACGGATAATACTAATGATAATAGTTATAATGTTATTAATAATAATATTAACAATGATACTACTACTAACAATAATACTACTAATACTAATAATAATACTAATAATAATAATACTAATCATGATAATAATAGTAATAATAATAATCATACCACTAATCACAATACTACAACTATTAATAACAATACTAATAATAATAATAAAACTAATAATAATAATACTAATACTAATAATAATACTAATAATAATACTAATAATACTATAATAATGATAATAAGAATAATAATACTAATAATATCAATAATAATAATAATAATAACAATAATAATAATAATTATAATAATAATAATAATAATAATAATAATAATAATAATAATACTAATACTAATAATAATAATAATAATAATAATAATAATAATAATAACAATAAGGTGAATAATAATACTCATACGGAAAGGAAGAGGAAGCGGA